GCATGCAAACCAGCAGGCACGCACACACACACAGACATGGAAATCACAGCAGAATGCGGGAATTTCAACAAGGCATTCATTCCAGCGGCAAATCCCAGAAATCAGCAGTGTTCTCTGTCTGTGTTTTTGGCGGGTCATTACATTACCCCCCTCTCAAGAGCGAGATCCCTTCGAGCGAGTAACTCATTCAGAGTTGGCACAAAATGCATCGTAGGAGTAAATCAGAAAGACAGACTTAGTAAGTCTGTGAGGAGTCATTTTTGCAACAAATTAAGCAGTTTGTCCCTCAGCGATCTGTCGTTCATAAGCGTTCACAACACGGGGAGCACTCTTTAGCAGCTCTTTCCGGTCGATCCAGAAGAATTCAGTCAACGGATGATAGAGGAAGTGAACCTTGTACTGTCTGTTCCTCCCTCTTCCCTCGTGAGAAACGATTCTGTCTATCTCATGGCCGCTGTCGATAGAGCGAGGTATCATAGGGTCTCGGAAGGGAAACGTCTCATCATCAATGTGTGGGAACAGTTTGGACGCGTGAAAGACCGGATACGTGCGCAAATGAGGAGGGACGTCAATCACATATGAAGGACCAAAATAATCCCCAATCACCTTCAGAATCTGCCAAGGGCCATAGTACAATGGAAGGAGTTTTCGTGATATGCCCTCTTCATCAGAAAACTCAGACATTTTGACCCAAACATAATCCCCTACTTTGAATTTTTCTTCTTTGCGCAACTTGTTAGCATGTTTGATCATGGCATGCTGGCGCTTGTTCATGGCTGCAATAACAACTTTGAGCAAGCGTGCGTACTTGGCATTGTAGCCAGGCATGTCAGGAATCAGACCAGGTGACCGTTCGGGGAACAGATAGGAAAGGGGATTACGCATCGGCCATCCGTATTGCAACTGGTTTGGTGCGCTAGCTGCAGAGTGAATGGAGCTGTTCTACAGTCCCTTCACTTTGTGCAACTCCTTGTCCCACGTGTTTCTGATCTGGAACAATCAATGCGCGAAGTAGTTGGATGACAGTCTGGTTGATCTCCTCGGCCAATCCATAAGCTTCGGGGTGTCGACCAGAAGTCTTGTTCAGTTTAATGTCATAGATTGGAGAGGTGAAGTCCTTCCAATCTTTGCTAATGAATCTGGTGTCCCGATCACTCACAATAGTTTTCGGGGTGCCAAACTGCAGAATGTACTGCTGATGGAATTCTTCAATGACAAGTTCAGTCGGGGCATGGGGAGGGAAAGGAATCAAGTTCAAAAATTTGGAAAAACGGTCCACGATGACCATGACTTGTGAATTTCCAGCCTCACTCACCTTTCCCATGTCCGTGAAGTCGATGGAAATCGACTCACCGGGTCCATCAGGAATGGGGAGGGGTCTCAACAGGCCATAAGGCTTATGCCTGTGGACCTTGACATACCTGGCATTCAGCAATAAATTTCTGAGCAGATCCTTTCATTCCTGGCTAATCAAACTGCTGCAGAAGACTTCCATAAGTCTTCTCGAAGCCGAAATGTCCACTCCGACCATGTGCAAAATCCAAGAAATGAGTTCGGAGAGGCGCATGGTTGGGTACACACAAACGATCAAATTTCCCATACCGGCGGAACACAAGACCCTCGCATTCATGAAAATCAGGCTGACTATTAGGGTCAGCCTTGAGCTGCTCAAGGATGGGACTAAGGTCCGGATCCTTGGCGGTGTGTTCGACCAGATCCTCCTTCAGTTTCCTTCGGAGGTCATACGAACCCACAAGGCAAGTCAAGAATTCAGGATGGCGGGACAATGCATCAGCAACCCGGTTATAACAGCCTTTCTTGTGTTTCAACTCAAAGCTATGGACATCAATGTCATGCAACCAAAGCTATAGACATCAATGTCATGCAACCAGCGGGTCAATGTAGGAGAGAGATCAGTTTGTGTCTAAATCCACTGCAAGGTCTTATGATCTGAGTAGACCTTGAAGTGACGACCCAAGAGGTAGTGCTTACAATGTGCGAGTGCCTTGCGCAGGGCGTAGAGCTCACGCATATATGTGGAAGTAGCTACCTTGTGGCTGGGCATGCGTTTGCTGTAATACTCGAGCGGATGTAGGCCATCACCATCATCTTGTTGCAGCACTGCACCAATCCCAAACTGGCTCGCGTCCGTAGTGACTACGAACGTGAGGTTGGGATCCGCAATGCTGAGCACAAAACGACTCACCAATGCCTCTTTCAAGGCTTGGAACGCAGTCTCGCACTTCTCACACCACGCATAGGCAACATTCTTACTGGTTAGTCTCGAGAGTGGGTGAGCAATGACATAAAATTTGGGCACAAACTTCCGGTAATATGAGGCCAAACCAAGAAAAGAACGCAGTTCGCTCACGTTCGCCAGTTGAGGCCACTTTCGGATGACCTCACCCTTGGTTGCCTCAGGCTCAAGGCCGTTTGCAGACAACCGGTGCCCAAGATAGATGACGCTGTCCCTTCCAAACTCAGATTTCTCTAAGTTGAGGTGCAGATGCGCCTCCTTGAGGACTTGCAAGACCTCCTCAAGGTGCTTGACGTGCTCTTCCATGGACTTGCTGAAGATCAAGATATCGTCAAGGTACACAACCACAAACCTGTTGAGTTGATGGCGATGTACCTTGTCCATGAGGCACTGAAATGTGGCCGGTGCATTCGTAAGACCGAAAAGCATAACGATGAATTCGTACAGCCCATCGCGTGTTTTGCATGCAGTTTTGTGCTGGTCACTCGGATCAACTTCAATCTGGTGGTAGCCAGACTCGAGGTCGATCTTAGAGAAAACCTTGCACCCACCTGCAGCATCCAGCAGATCATCTATACGAGGCAAGGGGTATGCGTTCTTGCGGGTGATACGGTTTAGGCCACGATAGTCAATGCACATCCGGAGTTCGCCTCCTTTCTTCGGCACAAACAGGACAGGTGCACCGAACTCAGACTCACTAGGCCTAATCAATCCACGGTCGATCATATCATCAATCTGCCTCCTCAACTCCTCCAACTCGCCTTGTCCCATACGGTAGACGCAACCCTTTGGAGGAACACTCCCTTCTATTATTTCGATTTTGTGTTTGTCCGGACGCTCGAGAACTCCATGAGGTTCTGACAGAACTCCAGGGAATCGATCTAATAAACGACGAATGTTTGTTGGGACTTTTGGTGGAGGATCATCCTCATCAGGAGAAAGAAAATCGGAACGAGAATTTACAACAATCACAACCGGATTTGAAGTACTTGGCCCAGAAGTAGAGGGATTATTCACAGCAGAAGTGGATGGAATAGAAAAAGAGCTGGTAGAAGTAGAGTTACTTACCGAGGTAGAAAATGCAGCAAAAGTGGAAGGCACATGGAGAGGCTTTACAAGAGCTATATGTACATGCTCAGCTTCCTTGCGCCTGCGCACTGATTTGCAGAATTCGTTTGCACTTAGAAGAGTCACAGGGGACTCGCGCGTCTCGTCCAATAAGACGGTACGCTCGTTCCCCTTGGCATCAAGCACCACGAATTGATTGTCCGCCCACGTGGTCCTTAGGCAATGAGCCTTTAACCAGCCCAAGCCAATGACCGCGTCGAACGGATACTTGTCCATGACATAAAAGTTGAGCTCATGTGTGACAGTGCGGTCCTTGTCAAAGGTGACGCGCACACCTTTGACAGCATGTGTAGAGGTGACAACCTCTTGGTTGCCCAGCTGGGTCTGACAAGGGTTCTGCGGTTCCACTTGCTTCATTCCCAGGCCCGCCTTACGAATCCCGTTAGGAGAAAATAAATTAGTGGTTGAACCACTATCAATCAGCACGCGGATGTATCGGCGGTTAATGAGCAGTTTAAAGAAGGTTAGCTCCACACTCCCTTCAACACGGCGTTGCTGCTTGAGCTGCAGCCAATGTTCCATGTGAGCGTGGAAGTCAACTTCCTTAGACTCCTCCCAAGGCTCCGAGTATAGCACATGAACTGCAACAGCCTTGGATTCAACGTCGTTCCTGGCTCCAAGAGTAGGCTGTTGATCAGATTCAGGCTCATCGGAGGGGCCTGCAACTGACGTTCCAGCTTCCCTTGTTGTAGGGAGTGCTGACGACTCCTCTACGCCCTTTGCCTGTTTCCTTGAAGTCTATAACAGTCCTGCACAGCATGCCCAAACTTTTGACAATGCAAGCATATGCGCAGTTTAGATCTTCTTTCCTATTCCTTTTGACCGATACGGAGGGCTTCCCAAGGCTTGGTAGATGCGTCCTGCGGTTTCTCAGGGATCTTCGCATTCTTGGGGAGGTGGACAACAGTTCCCTTACCTGAACCACGGTTAGGCCCCTTGTTTGGAGCAGTCTTTTTAAACGCATTAAGTTTTTCGTCTTCGTTTACGTCAGACTCAATGGCTGATGTGGAACAACCCATATCGAAGTCCGACTCTAGATCGTCATCTAGAGACAGATCATCCGCGTAGGACTGATCTTCAGCCTCCCGATGTTCATGCAGGGCAAGCTGGTTGCTGCTTCCATACCGCTTGCATTGTGGTTTTCCACTTGCAGCGGGCGCCTTCTTCCGCCTGGCGAGGTCCTTGGCCTCTAGGTTAGACTAGATCCGTCATGACCTCTCGCCCGGAGGTATGGTCTTTGAGTGCTAACAGGGAGAGGTATTCTTTAGGGGCCACTCCCATGACTACATCCATACAAGACACGTCGGTCATACCCAGGTTTGGAGTGGTGAACAGACCAGTCAAGTTTTGTTCCAAAGCCTGCATGGAGGACCTCCATGTTTGGCCCTTGAGGGCCTCAAGCTTCAGCCTAGCCTTGAGCGCAGCATGCTTATCTTGGTACTGTGTGATGAGAAGGTCCTCAAGGGCGCGCACGGGGGTTACCTTCGACCACTCTGTCAGGTCAATTCTTTCATAAACTGCAGCAACAGCTTGGAGCTCAATGTGATTCCGTACGGCGGGCTCAGTATTAGTGCCCATGATCATGCTTCGGTCTTCTTGTGGTGTCCGCATGACCTCGAAGTATGAACGCATGGAACTAATCCAAGAGGTGATATCCGTTTTCCCGTCGTACTTGGACGGCAAGGTGGCCGCCCGCTTGTCCACTACGGGACCGTTGTATTGAACGCCAGTAAGGACTGTGGCGTTTTGGGCTGATGTCCCTGCATTTGGGACTATGACTAGTGCAGAACTGCCGGCGCTGCCACTCGAGGAGCTGGTACCGGTTCCTGCGCTCGTCACAGTTCCACCTGCTCTTGCCATGAGGACTGTGTTAGATTGAGAGACTGGGACTGCAGCAGGTCGATGGTAAGGAGGGCGGGGGGCAGACAGTTGGGACTGTTTGAGGCTGAGTATTTCCGCCTGCAACTCTTGGTTTTGTTGCTCTAGCGCTGTCACACGGGACTCAAGGTCTTCCAAGGTCCGCAGTCGAACCAAGGCTGCTACGGCAGCAGCTAGTCCCTCCTGGAACCGGTCAGCATTGGCTTCCGGGATCCGAAGGAGGGCCACCTGATCAGCAACGTTGGCGGCTCTGGCTGCTGCCTCTGCCTCCGTTTCCCTCTGCACGGCATCATCATAAAGCTTTTGGAAGAACGGTTTCTTGTTCTCATCTGCTGTGTCCAACATGGCCTGCCATTGGGCAGATGTGATGTTCGCCATGCCGGAGAAGAGGGGTCCACTCTCTCCTTACGTTTGGACGAACACTCCTCTTGCCCTTCCTCACACTCTCAAACAGAACACCTTCTCTCTCCCTTCTTTCTCTTCTCGCTGTCTGCGCACGCGTCTCAATACCGGACATAGATAGTTCAGATGAAAGAAACAATCAATAAATCACACGGAGTAGAAGGTAGAACTCCTGGTCGGAGCGGCGATTCATTTGGACTTAGAGAATGGCACGCAGCAGAAAAAGAATAACAAAATAAAAAATAAAAATAAAACGGAAGAGAGGACTGACTTATAGAACGGGCCCGATCATTTTAGCTCGAGATCCCCTCTTGTCTAACCTGGCAAGGGACATGTGTCACAATCAATCAGCCAAAACTAACTGCAACAATGGAGATTTCGAGGGGTGCAGACGGGCTCCGAGTTAAACGCGGGGCAGTATGTGATAACATGCAGTAAGACCAGTCAAGTAAGACCATTGAAGATCCCCTTGAAAGGAATGCCCTTGCTAGTCGAATGTCCCCCAAGTTCAGCGCAACAAAGAGATGCACAGGCGGCATCAGATTTGGGCCCGAAAGGTCCTGTCCCGTTGGGCCTGGACAACCCAAAGCAGCTATGGTGCTGCGCTGATGTCCAAAGGACAACCCAAAGCAGCTATGCCGCTGCTGACTGGTCCGCCATGCCTGACTCTG